CCTGCTGTCAGCTATTAGGTGTTTTGTTATTCAGAGTTCCATCGTTGAAAAGAGCTCCTCCGAATTTGTCCTCTAACTGACTCTAGCTGGCTCACTGCAAGAGGTAAACAGTGTCTCTCGTCTTGTTTTCTGCTCGCTGCTTGTCTGATTCGGTTGATTCAAACTTGTGAAGAGTCGCTGAGGTCCTGGACGCGGGTGACGGAGCAAACAGAGGAGGTGGCGTTGTTTTGGAACACTTCGATACTTCTGCGAGCTGGCCAATACAGAATCTGCTGGTGTCCTGATTATTCCGGCTGCATAACAGAAGCAGATTTCGTGACTGATGTGGGTCGTCTTGAGCTCGTGGGAATTTCGGCGCTACCACAGCACAGGACATGCATGACTGGCCAGACTTGCGAGTTTGATGGGATGACTGGGCTGTATCTTACAGATCAAGACGTGTACCTAGTGGCCGATACCTGTGGTACAATATCAGGACTACCACGGTTTTTGGGAAGCAGCAGCTTCTCCACTGCCGTTACAAACTCAGGAAGAACAGTTTCATTCGGATCCGTCCCTGTGACTGCAGCTGGGGGCCACTTTATGCTCTGTTGGTGCTCTGGCACGCTCGGCAACAGCACGCTGGGAAATGGCTGCAGTACCTTTGAAGATTTTCAGGTTACCGCAGGCACACTCAGCTTGTTGGGACCGGCTCCTCTCCTACAAGACAAGACTTGCATCAGTGGCCACACATGTTCTTTTGAGATCACCAGTCACCTGCCGCATGAAGGAAATTCATTCCTGGTTCTTGACATATGTGGCACGCACAGTTTGCCAGCTCGCCTCCCTGTGGCACCCTACCAGACCACAATGCAACTGTCATCTTTTACAGTTGGCTTCACAGATGCAGACGGTGACGGGATATCTGCTTGTGGAGGTGATGAATGCTTTAATGATCCAAACAAGATTTACGCTGGATTCTGTGGCTGTGGCGTTCCAGATATTGATACCGATGGAGATGGCCTTGTGGATTGCTTGGATTGGTGCTCACTGGATCCCAACAAAACGCTGCCAGGGTACTGCGGGTGTGGCGACACCGAGGATGATACAGATGGGGATGGGGTGTTGGATTGTGCTGACAAGTGCCCCCTGGACCCAACCAAGATCACCCCGCAGCTGTGTGGCTGTGGAGTGGCAGATACGGATTCTGATATTGATGGCACGCCTGACTGCTATGACAAATGCCCCAGTCAACCAGACAGTGTTGCAGGGGTCTGTCAGTGTGCTGCAAGCTTCGCAGATGATGATTTTGATGGGACGCCCAACTGCAACGATTTATGTCCACTGGATCCCCTGAAGCTTTCACCAGGGCCGGTTGGTTGTGGCACTCCAATCACGGACACCGACGGGGATGGCACTATTGACTACTTGGATATGTGCCCCTCTGACGCCAATAAAGTCGAGCCTGGTACATGTGGGTGTGGCGTGTCTGATGTCGATTCAGATTCTGATGGAGTGCCAGATTGTGTGGATGCCTGCCCATTGGACAGTGACAAGAATCTGACAGGCATTTGTGGCTGCGGAATCTCAGACGCGGATCCGGATGGAAACCGCAGGCCGACTTGCTTCCCAGATTGTCCAGACACCATCACATCTGCGACACAGTACATGGTCTCCGTAGCTGCTTTTGGGCAAATCTCGATGGCGGGCGGCCAGTATCGGCTGTGCTGGTGTGCTGGCAAAGTTGGAGCAGGCAACCTGCCAAATATGAGCAGCGAAGCCAGTACATCCAGCAACGAAACAGTGTACAGCACGTGCTCTTTTATGGATGAATTCAAAGTTGACTTTGGTGGCCTGTTCGTGATGGGGCTGGCTCCACTACAGCAGTCAAAAACCTGCGTGAGTGGTTATTCTTGCATAGTTGAGGGAATCACCGGTTATGGCCTCAGCGCGGCTGATGGCTACATGATTTTAGACACCTGTGGCGTCCACTCCGCGCCGCTTCAGACTTTGCTGCCATTCGAAAGTCAGGGAAATGTCAGCGACGGGTGGTCGGTCACTCGGCGTTGGGTGTCCGAAACACAAGTCTCCGGTGGATTTTATCGACTGTGCTGGTGTGCTGATCATCCTGGTAACCAAACATCTTGGTGCCAGCATGCAGAGTACAACACCGTCGATTTTGGCGTTATGACTTTCATTGGTCCTGAGTTCTCTTCCGTGGGATGGACATGCGTCTCTGGACAGACATGCGTTGTGGATGCTATTGCTGGCAACGGCTTGTCCTTGCTCGATGCTGTGATGGTCCTTGAGACCTGCGGAACAGCGCTCTCCAGTATTGGCCTGGTGTGGCCAGCGACACCGCTTGAATTGCTCACTCCGCTGAATGACCAGGGCCAAGCATCCTGGCATGATCCCCTGTCTGCTCCAGGAGGTGACTTCCGCCTGGGCCCTAGACCCTGAAACCAGAGCAGCTGTATGCACTGAGTGCAGGGTTTTGTTGTAGGTGCTGTTGAGTACTCGCGTATATCACCTGCTTTCATGCGTCCTTTTGGATGTTAAGGTCTTTGCTGGTGTGCGGGCATTGAGCAGCAATCCTCAGGGGCGCGGAACGGCAGCTGTATTGCTTTCAACGAGACAGTTCCTGCGGATCGCTTTGTTCTGGATGTTGGGCGTATCAACATTCTTGGCGTTGCGCCTCTCAGTCAACATCACACTTGCGTTGCTGGGCTCTCTTGCCACATTGACGGCATCACTGGCAATGGTTTGAGGGATGACGACAAGGTGCTTGTGCTCCACACATGCGGCCAAATTTCTCATGTAGAGGGGTTCCCTGGATATGGAGCCATGCAAAGTGTGTCCATGTCCGGAGCGTCCGTCTTCTGGACAGATCCAGTTTTAGCTTGGGGAGGACAATATCGTCTGTGCTGGTGTTCCTCCGGGCATCACTGCAGCAGCGGCGAGCAGTTCCGCACTGATTTTGGCAGCTTCACACTCATCGGTCCTAGCCCCGCTGATCAAGACAGGACGTGCATTGCTGGTCTCAGCTGTGCTGTTGGATCACTCACTGGGCAAGATTTGCCTGCCCTGAACCAGTACGCCGTCTTGGACACCTGTGGAGTTGCGAGTCCAGTTGCTGGCATGCCGACGGGTCTGGAGACTGTTGGTGACCACGCTGTGGCTGCCATCTCTGTCACTGCAGTGGCTGGCCAGTACAGGCTTTGCTGGTGCAGCGGCATCTTGGACTTGGACCCTTTGCGAACCAATAGTTCCAACTCCAGCGAACCAGGCTTCCAACAAATCTGGGGGAACCAAAGTCTTGTCAACTTGACACCTTCCAATGGCACAGCGGTTTCGTACTGTCGAACTGCTGAAGAGTTTCGCGTAGATGTTGGCTCGCTGCTGTTGATTGGAGCTTCTACCCTCATGAGTGACTTTACCTGCATCGCCGGAAGAGATTGCACATTGGACGACATTGTTGGCATCAGCCTGAGCGATGGAGACTCCATTGTAGTGTTGGATACTTGCGGTGAGCATGGTGCTGCACTTCAGCCTCGGGCCTTGGCCAACGGCACGCATGCAAGCTGGCAGACCATCACAACCCCAGGTGGCGTGTACCGGCTGTGTTGGTGCAGTGCATCCAAGCAGTGCAATTCGGCCAGCGAATTTGATTTGGACATTGGCAGGCTGTACGTGCTGGGTCCGCGCCCTTTAGCGCAGGACCGAACTTGTGTGAGTGGGATGGAGTGTGCCGTGCGCGGCATTGAAACTTATGGCAACATGCAGGCAGGCAGCATGGCAATTTTGAGCACATGTGGAGCCCTCGAAGGCAGAGACTTGCTGGCTGGCCTGCCATTGAGTGTCACTTCCTTGGAAAAGCCCGTTGGAAGCAGTCGCTTCTCCGCAAATCTTATCGTAGACGTTGTCATGACTTCGGCAGGGGGTCATTACAAGCTCTGTTGGTGCGGCCCATGGGCTGATGGTTGCGAGAGGCCAAAAGATTTCAACGTCGATTTTGGGAACTTCCACTTGATTGGAGTATTTCCCCTGCAGCAGGACCGCACCTGCTTCGCTGGCGCTGCATGCTCTCTGACAGACATCTCGGGACATTGGATAAGTCGGCAGTCAGCAGTCTTGGTGATGGACACCTGTGGCTTCGGTCGTGCAACTCTGATGCGATCTTCGTGGGATCAAGCTTCTGTCGGCTCTGCCAGCGGGTCTGTGACAGTGTGGCCAGTGCAACCCTCCTCTGGGCCAGGTGGTCAGTACCGCCTGTGCTGGTGCTCTATGCAGCCTTGCAGTGTGCGCGATGCTGTGGTGGACTTTGGACAGTTGACCCTTGCCGGGCCCGCGCCGCTCTATCAACATCGTACCTGTATGAGTGGGCTCGCATGCCAGCTGGCAAGCTTGACTGGGACATTCTGGAGCGGCGATGTCTGGGTGTTGGACACGTGCGGCACCCAGCAAGGTATGATTGCCGGATTTGCGCTAGACGGGCGATCTGCTGTCTCTATGCCAGCAGCTCTGGTTGATTACAGCTATCCAGTTTCAGCCGCCGGAGGACAATATCGCTTGTGTTGGTGTTCTGACGGATTCTTGGTTAATCAGAGCGGCTGGAGTGATGCATCAATGCGTCCAGGGTGCGGCTTTGCTGAAGACTTCGCCTTGGACATGGGAAGCCTACTGCTGATTGGCATGTCCCCGCTTGATCAGGACCGAACCTGCATAGCTGGACAGCACTGCCACTTGGCAGACCTGCGAGGCTATGGCTTGTCCTCCCTGGACACAATTGTCGTGCTTGACACCTGCGGGCAGAAGGCCTTGCGACAGTGGCCAGAGCCGGCAACGGTGGTTGAAACAAGCGGCAAGCTCAGCGTCTCTTGGAACGTTGTTTCCACAGCAGGCGGCCAATATCGCCTGTGCTGGTGTCCTGGCTTGACCTGGACTTCCTCGGATGAGCAAGATGAAGACTTTGACCCATGGCTTGGGAATGAGACATTGAATGTCAGCGGGACCTTGGTGCAAACGCTGGAGAGGAGATGCTCATCTGCGGAGCTGTTCACGATAGATTTTGGAAGCTTGACGCTGGTGGGTCCCACGCCCCTATTCCAGCACTACACATGCACTAGCGGCCAGACTTGTCAGCTTGTTGGCGTGGAGGGCTTGCACCTCAACAGTGGAGATGGCATCCAGCTGCTTGAGACTTGTGGAGTTGCAGCTCGAGGAGCGGTGCCGTTGGGAGTGCCTTCGGGAGGTCTTCTGCAGGCCTCTGCTGTCGGCAACAACAGCTTCACCTTCTCGCTGGATGCCGTGCCCATCTCTGGATTTGGAGGTACGTACCGCCTTTGCTGGTGCTCATCAGCAGTTGACTGCTCGTCTTTGGAGGCTTTCCGCGTGGACATTGGCCAACTGACAATTCTAGGTGCGCACCCTCCCAGCCGAGACTACACCTGTGTGAGTGGAAGGCAATGCACCATCGACGGCGTAGAAGGGATTTTTGCTGCAGACTTTGCAGTCATGGTGCTTGACACCTGTGGAAGCCATCCTTCCATCGAGCAAGGGCAGTTTGTCCAAAGTCTGACTGGTAGCAGCCTGTTCTGGGAGTCTGGTGTACTCAGCGGCCCCGGTGGACAGTACAGGTTGTGTTGGTGCAGCTCCTCGGACGAGACACAAATCCTCCTCGACAACGACACCAACTCATCGAGCGTGCGACGCTATTTTGGATGCGACACTTTCCAGGACTTCAGCCTGGATGCCGGTGAGGTTCACCTTGTAGGGCCCATGCTCGGACAGGCGCGTACATGCATCGCGGGCCAGCTGTGTCGAATTGAAGGGCTCGTTGGCTACGGCCTAACAGCCAGCGATCGCCTGCTCGTGATGTCCACTTGTGGTAGCACCGTGCCAACAGGATTCCCGGGCACGGGAATGGCCATGGTCTTGGATGTCGTCGCCAACAGCACAGGTCTATCCACAGCCAACAGCTCAGACTTTTGGGATGTTGCGGTGACAGGCCCCGGTGGACGATATCGATTGTGCTGGTGCAGCGGGACAAGTTGCACAGCGTCCCAAAGATTTGTCGTAGACTTTGGTGAGCTCATGCTGATTGGTCCGAGGCCCCTTCAGCAGCACCGTACTTGCATCAGCGGCCGCGCGTGCTTCCTCACGGCTTTTGCAGATTATGACCTGGAAGGTCTCGAAGTTAATTCCACAGCAGATGGGCTGCTGGCGATTCCGCTGTCGTCTACCTGTGGCAGCCTGGGGGCCAAGAGACTGGAAGGAGTGACTGGCTATATGAGCATTCCGGGAGGCTCCTCACCCGCTGCAGTTGCGCAGACCGTTCCTCGCATCAGTGAGCCAGGTGGCTTATACCGACTCTGCTGGTGCAGCGCAGAAGCTTCATCCTGCATGACGGAACACCATGCGGTCCAGGTTGGTGTTCTCACAATCCTCGGACCAGCTCCGCTGACACAGGACCATACGTGCATCTCCGGAAACAGTTGCAGGGTGCACATCTCCGCATCTTTTGTCGACACAAGAGTCGAAGGAGCACTGATGGTCCTGGAAACCTGTGGCCTGCCACTTCTGCTGCCGCGCTTCCTTCCTGATGGTCGACTGCCACTTGTGGGAGCAGATACAGGTTCCAACGGATCACTGCTTTCAATAAGTGCTGCTGGTGGACAATACCGCCTCTGCTGGTGCACAACAACGCCTAACCAGTTGGTGGTGAATGCAACGGGGCAGCTTCTTGAAGCATGTGGAGGACCATCTGATTTCATAGTGGATGCCCTGACCTCAGGGACCATTGCTCTCCTGAATTCACGCCACAGCGGCAGCTTCTTGTAGCACATCTTGACAACGTCCACTGCGGCATTTTGTTCAGGCAGCTAGGTCAACATGTTCTTGCAACAATTGTTGTGTACTCATGAAGCTCTCCTGGGACTGATGGGAAATCATTGCAATGCAGTTCCTCCACGTTTCATTGTCTTTCCATGAGTCCTAGCCATGCTCAACTTCTCCCTTGCGATGCGTGCACTCCCCTCTCAAGGCTGGTCCCTGAGGTGTCAAGGACAACAAAAGAGTCCAGGCGAAACTAACCGTGACCGAGAAACCTGTAACCGGGGGCCCTTTCGCACGGCCGGACGACGAGCTGCCACACACAGAGATACAGCGACTCCTCAATGCGGCAGGCAGATGTACCGGGTACGGTATCACGCAAAATTCGCATTTGAAAGACGCAGATGAAATACTGAAGAGGAGTGCGAGAAGGCCCTGCAGGTCAGACGCCTGCCAATTTTTTGTGCCCAGTGCTCCTGGTGTACAGAGTGCGTAGCATTTTTGATCACTGCTGACGATGCGATCCCACCGTAAATTGTCAACCATGCAGCATTCTGCTCAGTGTGCAACCCTCGCGAGACGGTAGGCCCTGTGGGTGTTGGCACTCCGATGTTGGTTGTACTAGTAGTTGTCACACTGCCACGGGCACATCGCTAAGGTTGGTGGCTTGTCGATTTCAGGGATTTCGCCGCTGGAGCAGCACCGGACCTGTATCAGCGGTCAGATGCCACTTGGTTTAAGGAAAGTTGAGTCCTGAGAACCAGCCAGAGCGCAACGAACATCACTAAAACAGGGCTTGTGGATGTGAGGTGCAGTGTGGACGGCCTCACCGGACATCACCTCACAGCCGATGACCATGTCCTGCTTCTTGAAACTTGCGGTGCCCTGCTCAGTCATGCCAGTTCTGATTGATGGTCCATAAGAACAGAGAAGCCTATTGCACTGAGGTGTTGCCGGCGGTTGGGACCAGTCACCAGGACTTGCCTCAGTGATCACTGCAGTGGCTTGGCAGGCATGCAGGCGTTTTCTCTCAACGGCCCTCGAACCTAAAGTTTTTGCAGAGGCTTGTTTGACATGATCTATAATGCGGCAGCTGAGGGCACTTTTTCCACCATGGCTTTCACTTGGGGAGCGGAAAGGCTACGTCTTCCTGGGGGCTTGTACAGGCTTTGTTGGTGCTCGGGAGCGTTGCCGGTACATGAATCTCTTTCTAACGTCTCCGAGCTCGACACAACAAACAGGTCTCTTTGTGCCACCGCTAGCAGCTTCCAAATTGATGTAGGCTACATGATGGTCATTGGCGTGGTCCCATTTGCAGAAGACAAGACATGCTTCTCTGGGCAGACATGCTTGCTGGATGGTATTCAAGGTCACCACCTTTCGGTGCATGATTTGTGGTTGCTTAGGGACACCTGCGGGGTTCCAGACCAGGTCGTCCTTCCTGCTGCTCAGCTAGTGACCGTGTCCCATTCCGGCAGTTCTATTGCCTGGGGCAGCAATGCTTTCTCCCTATCAGCTGGACAATACAGGCTATGTTGGTGCTCAGGTGATGCACCCTGTACATCGTACTCTCTGACAGATGTTGGACAGCTCCACATGCTTGGGCCATCACCGCTGCAGTCTCGGACCTGCGTATCGGGACAGACCTGCGTAGTCAAAGAAGTAGTGGGACTGGGATGGGACATGTCGGATGAGTTCATGGTCATGGACACCTGCGGACAAAATCAGGCCGGGGCTCACCCTAGTCATGCCGCATGTCGAATTAATGCTTTAGACCTTTAACCGCTTCTAGTACCCTGAAGGCTACTCCTGGACTCAGTTGGGCTGGGGCAGTTGCTCACCTACAAGGAAGCTTGGTCACAGTGACCTGGGGTCAAGATGGCGTTCTTGCACTCGGGGGTAGCTATAGACTTTGCTGGTGTCCGGGAATGCTGGCGTCAGTGAATGGCACCAATCGTTCGAGCAATTGCATCACTTCTGACTTTGCAGCCGATGCTGGTGAGCTTTTCATTGTTGGGCCAACCAGACAGCAAGAGTGGACGTGCATCTCCGGTCGGCAGTGCTCACTGGTTGGGCTTGATGCAGGTGCTGCGATAGGACATTTGGGGCAGCTGCTGGTATTAGACACTTGTGGCGTTGGAGGCCTGTTGCACCGCTGGCCTGATGCTGGTCGCCTGGCTGAGGTTGCGACGAGCTTGGTGACATCAAATTTGGTGGTGTCAGCGCGGGGAGGTCGCTATCGCGTCTGCTGGTGCGCTGCCATACCTTACCCAGAGGCACAGTGCTTGTCGGGAAGCATAGACAACCAATCCTCCTGCGAATTCTATACGGGCAATTGGAGCAACAATTCAAGCCTGCCTTGCCAATCTTCGGAAGACTTCGCTGTGGATGCTGGCACCCTGGATTTGTTGGGTCCAAGTCCACTTTTCCAGCATATGACTTGCTTCAGCGGCCAAGCCTGTGAGTTCCATGATCTGGAAGGCTACAATCTCGGATTGAGCAGAGTTATGGTCCTGGATACCTGTGGTACTACCTCGCTGCCTGCCAGATTGAAGCAGACCTTGACTACAGGTGCTGCTTGGGCATCTTCGGACATCACCTCACCAGGAGGAGTCTACAGGCTTTGCTGGTGCATGGAGACAAACTCCAGCTGGCAGAGCTGTGCGCTTGCAGAAGATTTCCTGGTTGATGCTGGTACCCTGACGATCGCCGGCCTGAGCCCTCTGACCCAGGACAGGACCTGTATCAGCGGCCGCAGATGCACCGTGGACAATCTGCAGGGAGTCGGCTTATATGACGCTTCCTTCAACGTTCTGATTATGAACACCTGCGGAGTAGACAATGCAGTGCTGCCATGGGCGCAACCGGGAGAGCTGCTGATACTTCCGCAGGGTTTCGCCTCATGGTTCGACCTAGCCATCACAGCCGTTGGCGGCAACTATCGCATGTGCTGGTGCTCGCGCAACAACAACACTTTGGAGAGTCAATGCTCTCAGTCCGGCCACTTTGAAGTGGATGCCGGCAGCCTATTCCTCGTTGGGCCACGGCCACTTGAACAAGATAGAACTTGTATCACTGGCCAGACTTGTGTCTTGGAATCGCTGATCGGTATTGGGTGGTCAGATGCTGACTTTGTTGCTATTCACTCCACTTGTGGCAGCTTACAAGCAGAGGGCGTGCCAGAAAGGTTCATGCAGGAAAGGCCTCGTCTGGCCGACATGACAGGTGGCTACTGGCTAGCAAGCTGGGACGCAGCTCGCAGTTCTGCAGCAGGAGGTCAGTACAGGCTTTGCTGGCAGGCTGGATTACTCTCGAATGGGACAGTGATCGTATCCCCAGATGGAGAGTCCTGGATAGACATGGGGAGCTTTACGCTAATAGGTCCATTTGCAGGTGCAGCCCGCACCTGTCTCAGTGGACAGTCCTGCCAAGTAGACGGCCTACTGGGTCAGCACTTGAGCGCCAACGATTCCTTCGTGGTGATGGACACATGCAGCTTGGATGATAGTAGCCTACTTGATGAGTTATCTGTTTGGTGAATGTTTTGGCGAGTCTAAGTACAGTAGTAGTTGCAGCATTCAAAGCATGCAGTTAGGTGGAGTCAAGCAGAGCATTCCCATCGATGGCGTGCATGCAAGTGGGGCTATGGTATCTTTGGGCAGCACGGTGACCTCTGTGGCTGGCGGTCAATACAGACTTTGTTGGTGTGCAGCTATGGGCGATTGCAGTGACTTCCGGTACTTTTCTGTCGACATGGGCGAGCTCCAGGTCTATGGCCCGACTCCGCTGCAGCAAGACCGTACTTGTGTGACTGGGAGGACATGTTTCTTTGGTGTGGACCTTCACGGTGCGCACACGTGGTTCGTGTCGATCCTAGATACCTGTGGCCAAAACCCTGATCTGCTTCACGGTACAGCGCAAGTGATGCTTTCAAGTTTTGCCTCAGTAAGCTTTCATACGTTGACGGCTTCTGGTGGAATTTACCGGCTGTGCTGGTGTGCTTCTAGAGATTGTTCTACTTCGAATTCCTTCGTGGTGGATGCCGGAAAGCTAGAGCTGGTGGGGGTCTTTCGGATGCAAGACAGTACTTGCATATCTGCTCGGGCTTGTGAAATTCATGGCATCCACGGCCACCTCATCTCCAACGACGACTTTTTGCAGATTTTGGAGACATGTGCGGTGGGGTCCCGACTGTCCTTGCCTCGGCAGCGCTTGTCTGTCACAGGTGGAAGTGCTAGAGCAACTTGGCCATCCGTTCCGTTGGCGGCCTATGGAGGCGAGTACAAAATCTGCTGGTGCAGCAGCCAAGGCGCAGGCACCTTCGAAGGCAATACTTCGCATGATTGTTCTTCCTCACAGGACTTCACTGTGGAAGTGGGAAACCTGGCAATCTTGGGTCCAAGTTTTCCCGAACAGATGAGGACTTGCATCAGCGGTCAGTTCTGTAGACTGGCTGGTTTGCTGGGCGAGGGCTTGCTTGCTGAAAGCTCAGAGATCCTGGTGGCAGAAACGTGTGGAGCAGCAGCTGTGATATCTGGCTTTCTGCAGCCAACCCAGACTCTTCAGCAGAATTTGCTACTGGAAGCTTCATGGGCTGCTGTTACGGCAGCAGGTGGTCGCTACAGACTTTGCTGGTGTTCACCCATCAGGGGCAACAACTCTGATGCTTCTGGCGCCAGCGAGTGCGAGGTAGCATCCAACTTCCGCATCGACATGGGTGGGCTGACAGTGCTTGGCCCACAGCTGGGCCAAGACCGAACCTGCATCTCTGGACGATACTGCTTCATTGATGGCATTTTGGGGGAAGGCTTACTGGAGACGGACAGTGTGCTGGTCTTGGAGACTTGTGGGCTTGATGAGGTGGTGCCAAGATTCTCTGGCTCCGGCTTCTTCACCAACATCTCGCGAA